ATAAATTCACACGCACACACATATAAACTATTTTTGTAAAATTACAAAAAAAAAAAATTAAAAAAAAAAAAAAAAATCATCCATACGATTTGCACACGCCATAATACATACTTGCACACACTGTCGTACATAATCAACTAAAAATATCAGCTCTCAATACAAATTATTACTAGTTATTACCTTTAATATTCTACCTAATATTATGCTCAAGATTACAATTTAATACTAACAAAAAATAAACTCAATACTAGAATTACTTTTTAATCCTTATGTTTTAAAAATGTCCTTAATTAGTTTAAAAGAATCTTTCAATCTCAACCATCCATGGAAAATGAATCAATGGATATCATGAGATCTCATGTATCATAGGGGTTGTACCGGATTCGAAGCATATATATATATATATATATATATATATATATATATATATATATATATATATATATGTGTGTGTGTGTGTGTGTGTGTGTGTGTGTGTGTGTGTGTGTGTGTGTGTGTGTGTGTGTGTGTGTGTGTGTGTGTGTGTGTGTGTGTGTGCGTGCGTGCGTGCGTGCGTGCGTGCGTGCGTGCGTGCGTGCGTGCGTGCGTGCGTGCGTGCGTGTGTGTGTGTGAAAGAGTTAATTACCAAAATGGTCCCTTGACTATTTTGTTGACCAATTATGTAATACCTCCTAATTTTTTCAAGCTAATTAAAGCCTTAAATATGCAGATATCTAAACAAAACATTAGACATAGCGGAAGACTGAAAGATGAACATATATAAACTGAAAGTAAAAGGGGTGCTATGCCACGCTCATCCAGAGATGAACGCACAGGCTAACATCTGCATAATTCAACATCTAAACCATACATGTTCAAGTACTAAGTTTAAACTGGGCTCACAGGCCACAAAACACAAGAAAGGAGCTACACTAGTTGGCATAAACCGCGCTCTCGTCTAAACATCACCTGAAAGAAACACATAAAAGATGGCCCGGTCAGCGAATAATGCTGGTAACCCACCAATACATGTGAAATATCATACATAGATAGGATATACGTTTTTAAAGTCATTTGCGAAACGGAATACGTATATATAAGTTCAAAACCAAGAGCAAAGGTCAACACAAGACTCAAAGCACTCACAACAAGATATGGGAACACATCCCAATACCACAAAGGACAACAACAACAACTCACAAGGACGGCCCAAGGTATAATCTATCATCACACAATAGATTAACACCCGACATGCATAACACAAAAGAATAAGAACACGACCAATGGCAACACATACCTAGGCAACACATGCCTTTGTGACAACACACGTCATAAGAAGAGAACTCACTACAACGGCTACACAAGCCTTCGTGACATCACCCATCATGAATTGATATGTCTTCCTTATGCCCGGTTCCAACCTTATGGCTACCCCCAACCTTATGTCTAGTTCCAACCTTTACCTCCAGGACCCCTGTACACCAAGTCCAACCTTTTTCCTCCGAGGACCGTCGTCCCCTCTCCGACAGATCTCCAACAGAACCACCGATTTCATAGTACACGAGGGTACCGATCACACACACGGCAACACATGCCACCCAAGAAATACGTGAACCTTACACAAAGGTCACAACTCCATAATCACGTCATGGCCACCACGAGGACCACTGCAATACCTTGGTGAATAGTGTCTCATACCACTAATCGTGCAATCCAGGTAAAGCCAGACACACATCACACCTCAACAGGAATCAATCAACGGATCACAACGAAGATATGAAACCATACTCAATCAAGGAATGGATCACAGTCCAACAACAACGATGAATAACACAAGTCATCATCAACAATAGGAAGGTACAAACAACACACACGCTAGCATTTAAACACCGAACTAGCATGCTTATCAAACGGGTAAACCAAACGTAGTTCTGAAGAACACACAAGACTCATCACGGTTCAACGAAACACAATGTTGAACACTTAGCACGATTCAAGACACCAAAGCGTACATGGATCCCTACCATATAGTTCTAGATATATGAAACATCAAGAAGACGCTCAAATAATTCCACGAAAGAACATCGGGAAGTCAAAAGACCAAATACCGAGTCAAAAGAATCACGGGGAACAAATCCCCAACTAACCACATCATGTTCCCCGCGGGTGGACCCACGGGTAGGCCCCTACCCGTGGTTCCGCCCGCGGGTACAACACCCACCGGCCATATGTTCCCCGCGGGTGGAGCTCTACCCGGCCATATGCCAAATCTCACCAAATACAACAAAATGACTTGAATCAAAGGAATAACCAAGCAATGACATACAAGAACCCTAATAACAAGCTCTAGATATGCATTTTCACAAGACAATGCATAAACACTCACATTTCATAGCAAAACACATGTAGAATCCAAGAATCATCAAATAGGTAAGCAAAATAGATTTTGTAGAGCATGGGTTACCTCTTGTAGACAAAAACCTTCACTTAACACTTCACCAAGCTCCTAATAAGGCTCACCTTCCAAACCCACTTCAAGAACACACCAAAAGATCATAAAGATTCTATCTTTAAGAAAAGACACCTAAGAAAACACTAAAAACACAAGATGAACATAGATCTTACCCTCCTAGATGCCCAAATGTATGAAAGGTAGAATCTTGGAGACAACTTTTGAAGGTTTGACAAAGCTTTAACTTGGCTTGGAAGAAAAGCTATCTACCTTTTTAGAGAGAAGGTAGAGCTAAAGTTTGGAAAGTGTAAGGAGAGAAATGGGGATTGTCTACTAGGTTAGCTTGCATTACTAACACAAGGTGAAAAGTTATGAATACCCTTACTAAAATGAAGAGGTGTAAGGAGACAAGGGAACTCCTCTCAAAGCTCAAGGTACAACTTTGACTTTGGGATTGACTAGTCAATTACTAGTCCCCGACTATTGAATTTTCAGGATTTTTAGGAATTAAAATACCAATTGGTTTAGGATTAATTACTTAATTAATCCCATAATTGAATTTGGATTACGGGGTGTCACAAATTAAGTCCCTCAACTTTAAAAATCTTAACCAATTTGGTCCTCCGTTTGTTTGACCGTTAGTCAACCGTTAACTTGGGACCAAATTGGTAATTTGCTATTGTCAAGAGACCATTTTGGTAATTAACTTTAATGGTGGGCAATTCGGTTCAGTTTTCTCGAACCGAACCGTACCAAACTAGTTAGATTTGGTAATATACCGAACAACCGAACGGTAATAGATTCTTGTATACCGAACGGTTCGGTAAAAACTCAAACCGAACTGAATTGTTCGGTAAAAACCGAACCGAACTGAATACCGTTTGAACTTTGGATTGCTATTTTGTTATATATTAGACTTTGGATATGGACTATGTAAACACCATAACACATAATATAGAACTTTTGATAACAAACCATAAAAGAAATCAAATAAAACATTTACGAGAGATACACGTGAGAATATGAGCTGAACGGCAGAGCAAGCAGTAAGGGACTTGGATTTACTTTTTATTTATTTATTTATTTATTTATTTATTTATTATTATTATTATTATTTTTACAAAAATTAAACGGTATTCGGTTCAGTTCAATTTTTTACCGAACAATTCGAATCGGTTCGGATCGGTTTTTTATCAAACCGTTCAGTATACAAGAATCCAATACCGTTCGGTTGTTCGGTATATATTATCAAACCAAACTAGTTCGGTTCAGTTTGGTAGGATTCGGTTCGAGAAAACTAAACCGAATTGCCCACCCCTAAAGTTAATTACCAAAATGGTCCATTGACTATAGCGAAATTACCAATTTGGTCCCAAGTTAACGATTGACTAACGGTCAAAAAAACGAAGGACCAAATTGGTTAAGATTTTTAAAGTTGAAGAACTTAATTGGTTAAAAAAATAGTTAAGGACCAAATTGGTAATTTCGCTATAGTCAAGAGACCATTTCGATAATTAACTCTATACGAAATTAGTTAATTAAAGAGCAGAAGTGTAGGAAGTTTGTACGGGTCACTGGCACCTCAAGTAAATTATACTACGTACTCTACAAAGATATGTATAATTTATTACCATGCACCTCGTTTGTATCGTATGTAACTTATATGCATTGTGACATGTGTATATGCTACACATACAAATAATTAAACACTAATAATATACTCCCTCTTTCTTGTCCTATTTTACATATCATATTTATTATTTATTGTTTAAATCAATTCTTTCATTATTTTTTGCTTATTTCCTTTATTAGTTTTTATTTATTTTTAAATTTTAATTTTTTTATGTTATAATACTCTTAATTTAGTTTCTAAATATATAAATTTTATATACTAGTAGTAAATTAAACTTAATGTTATGAAAATTGAATTCAAAATAATTTTAATCAACCATCATCAACCAAACCAAACACATAAAATGAGACTGAGGGAGTAGTTAAAAATAAAAATGAGTGATGATATGGGCAACCCTATCCAAGCTGGTTGGACGGTAAACTTAGTAAATATAATAACAAGTTTGACTTTCAACGTGAGCGGACTATTAATCTTCTTGGTTTGAGCCGGTATGAGCAATTTAGGTTGGTTTTATTTTTCTATCATATGCTGACTAGGATTACAAAGCAATGATGGTACTCAGTACACAGTACACATATTCGTATAGTAATGATAGGTTTCTCTCGTCATCTTATTATGTACCAAAAAGATATATAGTTATGTTACGTTGCAGTGAAATTTTTGAACCAGCAGAAACTTTCCTTTTGGAAGATATATAACAGTGATGTTATCAGACCGTAAGGTAATTGAAAAAACAATTGTTAAGAATAAGAAGGTGATGAGAGTTGAAGTGTAGTAGATGATTTATGTATATGAAATGGCGGGGCAATCTAATGAACCATGTGGGCTTTGTCTTACAAGGCAGTTGAACAAGATTTAGTAGGTAAAATGTAGTTAGCCTTTATCAAGGGATGCAAGCTAAGGTAAGCTAGCCAAACATGCCTTACATACATCCTTCCTTATCTCTACGTTGTCTCACAACAACAACAACATTAATAAATCTTTCATTAATTTCTTCCTCGCATGAACATCATCAAACTGTTGGCCCAACGCCTAACACCTACCTCTTTCCACCATAACTATTAATCACACGTAAATTCTCAACTTACCAACATATATTCCATTCATCAATTCCCCCTCCAATTCACCTTTAATTTTGCTATACGTTGATGGAAGGAGAAGATCCGCCGCCGCCGTCTCTGCCGCCGGCGTTGTTGCCAAACGACATTAATATCCAAGACCTCTTCTCGTTTCCCTCGACTTCACTAGTGGAGCATAACCCTTCAATAATGTTGAGCCATTTGCCAATTCAGAGCTCTGTTGTTGGGTCTGATAGTATTGACTGGGTTGGGCTTCTCTCCGGTTGCATGGACCAAATGCCGGCGCCGGCGCCGGCTAGGCGGGAAGGTGAAAACTACGTTCAGAAGAATAAAGGGAAGAGGAAGAAATATGTTCCGCCGAGGGTTGCGTTTCATACACGGAGCACTGAGGATATTCTTGATGATGGGTATAAATGGAGAAAATATGGCCAGAAATCTGTCAAAAATAGCACTCATCCCAGGTAATTATTAATAACCTACCATTCTCAAAATTTTTTATTAATAACAAAATAGAATAATATAATTTAATTACTAGATCACTTTTTAGGAGTAGGTCTTTAATTAATTCATATGGGATGTTTGGTAAATAGTTGTTAGCTGATTGAGTTAGTGTGTTTAAGTCTTTAATTAATTCATAGAGTAAATACCACCTATGGTCCCTCGAGTTTGGTGGCATCGCCATCAATGGTCCTTAACTTCCGTAATTACCATCCGTCATCCTCCGAGTTGTGAAAAGTTACCTTCTAGCGTCCTTCCATTACTTCCTCCCGTCTTAGCCGTCAAAATTGAGGGTAATATTGTCATTTGACTTATACGAAAAGAGTTAATACCAGCCAAGGTCCCTCGAGTTTGGTGGTTTGGCCATCTTTAGTCCCAAACTTGGCCAAAAAATTAAAGAAAGTTGGTGCTTTCTCAACTTCCAACTCGAACTCCCTCTTCTCCTATACAATATTAAAGAAAATTTACAAATGTATAGGGGTCGTTTACTTCATTTATCTGTTTTTCCATTTTCAGTTTTCCATTTCTCCAGTTTTCTTTCTCCATTTTTCTAGTTTTCCTTCTCCATTTTTTCAATTTTCCATGTTTCCATTCCTCCATATTTTTATTTCTCTAATTTTCTGATTTTATTAAATACACGCATCCTATATAGCATTTGCACATTTCTACAACAACAACAACAACAATAATAATAATTTAATAATTTAATAATAATAATAATAATAACAATAAATAATAGTAATAATAATAAGAATTTAATAATAATAATAATAATAATAATAATAATAATAATAATAATAATAACAATAACAATAACAATAACAATAAAAATATGAATATAATAATAATAATAATAATAATAATAATAATAATAATAATAATAATAATAATAATAGCATTTGTACATTTCTACAACAACAAAAACAACACCAACAACAACACCAATAACAATAATAATAACAATAATTTAAAAAAATAATAATAACAATAAACAATAATAATAATAATAATAATAATAATAATAATAATAATAATAATAATAATAATAATAATAATCCTTTATATAATAAAGTTATATGATTTGGGAAATAATTAATGCTACAATTAATGCCACAACATCGTTTATTATTATTAAAAAAAAAAAGGCACAACATTTAAAAAATAAAATAGCTATATATTATATAATCATATAAAAAATATACTTTTGAAAAATAAAATACTTATATATTATATAATCATATAAAAAAATGTGTTCAATTAGAGTTTAAATTTACACATACAAAATTTGAAATTTGCTTTCCAAATGTAATTATCTTAGTTATTATTCGTATTGTGAAAAAAAAAAAAAAAAACACAACATTTAAAAAATAAAATAGCTATATATTATATAATAATCATATAAAAAATGTGTTCAATTAGAGTTTAAATTTACACATACAAAATTTGAAATTTTCTTTCCAAATGTAATTATCTTAATTATTATTCTATTGTGAAAATTATAATATAGATGAAATACAATTAAAGAATAAATCAATGTAATTATGTAAATTCTCTCTATAAGTTTATTTGAATATGCACATAATTAGAGATTATATTAACCATACAAAATTTTAATTTTAATTGTAATTTTGTATTCTATAAAAATAATAAATACTTGACCAATGGAAGCTCAAAAATATTATTATATTAAATAATTTAAAATAATTTAGTTTTTCTATTTTTTATTTATATTTATAATAACATAATTTTTCCCGTGCATCGCGCGGGTGAATTACTAGTAATAATTTAATAATAACAATAACAATAATAATAATATGAATATAATAATAATAATAACAATAATAATAATAATAATAATAATAATTTAGTGCTAATAATATAATAATAACAATAACAATAATAATAAGAATTTAATAATAACAATAATAACTTTAAATAATAGTAATAATAATAAGAATTTAATAATAACTATAAATAATAGTAATAATAATACATTTGAAGAAGAGAATATGGAAGAAGGAAAATAATGGAATATGATGCAGCGAAACTTGGGACTAAAGATGGCCAAACCACCAAACTCGAGGGACCTTGACTGGTATTAGCTCTTTTTGTATAAGTCAAATGACAATATTACCCTTCATTTTGACGGCTAAGACGGGAAGAAGTAACGGAAGGACGCTAGAAGGTAACTTTTGACAACTCGGAGGATGACGGATGGTAATTACAGAAGTTAGGGACCATTGATAGCGATGCCACCAAACTCGAGGGACTATAGGTGGTATTTACTCTTAATTCATATTAGCTGATTGCAGAAAGGTGTTTGGCATATTAGCTGATAGCATTACATGCAAAATGACTTTCTCAAAAAGTTGATCAAAAAAAACTATTTTGAGAGCTTTTTGAATTTTAACATTTTGGAGCAATAAGCTGTTACAAACAATTAATTAATTAAACACTCATATTAGTTATTTAACCAAGTTAAAAAATTAATAGTGGTCAAAAAAGTCAAAACTGACGGATAAACTATGGCCTATGTCTAATCTATATTTTGGTTTCTATATGTGCAGTAGCACTCATCCAAGGTAAGTATTAATAACCTTTATAAAAATTCCTAATTTTTTTCTAGATAAATGAAAAAAAAAAAAACAATAATACGGAGTAATAAATTTGGAACTTCAAAGAAAAACACATATATAGTATATGGTATGGATTAATTAATTTAATTATTTACTAGATCATCTTTAGGGGTTTTTCGTTCATGTTATGTGTTTAGAAATCTTGTATCACTTAAGAAAATGTTGTCTTTTTTTGGTTTCTATATTTTGAATATCACTCATACCAGGTATATTAAACAAACTTGAAAATGGTGTAATATCAAACAAACTTTGTAAACTTTATTATTATTATTATTATTATTATTATTATTATTATTATTATTATTATTATTATTATTATTATTATTGAAAGATAATAAGTTTATATATATATATATATATATATATATATATATATATATATATATATATATATATATATATATATATATATATATATATATATATATATATAAAATAGGGTAACACTTGTGTGAGACCCTCTCACGTGTCGAATCTTTGATTGATGGGTCAAATCTTTGATTAATGGGTCAGATCGTTGACCTCATTAATCAAATATCCGACCCGTGAGACGGTCACACACAAGTTTTTGTTTATTTTCAAAAGGCAAGCAAGGTGCTAGACTGAACAGCCCCAACACTTACCAGCCTAAAACGCACAGTTCTTATTTGGTGGCCTGGCTCTGATGCCACTTGTTAGATCATGCAAGCGTTTATCACTATACCAAAAGCTATAACCAGTAGCAAATGCACAACTTTATTTCTTTATCCCAGCTACATTTCCGAGAGGCATGGTGTTAGACTTTGCCCTTCCTAACCATCATTATTATGAAGAGAAATATATATAATGTTATGTATGTTAATGACTGGCATATATGCATGCATGCAGGAGCTACTATCGTTGCACGCACCACACGTGCAATGTGAAGAAACAGATACAGCGACTCTCAAAGGACAAAAGCATTGTGGTGACAACCTACGAAGGCATCCACAACCATCCTTGTGAGAAACTCATGGAGACCTTAACTCCTCTCCTCAAACAACTTCAGTTTCTCTCCAGATTCTAATCCCATCCATGATCCATCCCAACATATATATTAAATATATAAGCACGTACGTACTGCTTAAATTAAATGTACAAAATATAATCCTCGATGGATGATGCTTAATTATATGCTCTGATTGTGTACACAAATTATATTGTCAGTTAATTAAAGAGAAGCATTAGATGTTGACACATGTTTACCTTTATATATTTAAAGTCTGATCCATAATCTAAAGATGACGACACCAGCATGCATTGCATGCATGCATGCAAATGAAAATTAAACATTTGTGGACTTTGATATATAATCGAGTAGACATGTGCACGCATCTGCTTTCTTCATTGTTGTATTGTGTGTGTTGTGTTTATAAATTTGTATAATATAATGTTGTGTGATATGTTACACATTGTTTGTATATATACAAAACTTAAAAAAAGATTATCCCGATAGTGGTAGTGGAGGAAGTGGTAATGACAATTGCGGTTCCTATTCATATATAACCGGTCTCATCGCCATCTTCTTGATTAAAAAAAATTGTTACTTTTAATTGATTGATTTTTAAAAATTGCCCTTAGCTTGGTGTGTTCATGTACATCATTAAACCCCAACTAGAACTAATAAAAGGGTAGTAGCATATTCCCTATAATGCTTTGTTTGGGAAGACTTCTTTTTTGTTTTCTTTTTCTTTATTGGGTGGGGGGGGGGGGGGGGGGGGTCGTGGAAGAAGGGTAATAGCATATTCATACGGTTGAAACCCCTATAATGCTTTGATTGGGAAGTTTTTGTTTTTGTTTTTTTTTTTTGTTGTTTTTTTCAAATGAAAAATTGCACTTTTCGTTCTTAAGTTATACTGTAATGGTAAAATTTGTCTCTAATTATTGATTTCTCACTTTTCGCCCCTAAGTTATCAGTGGCGTTGCATTTTTCAACATTTTATTAGCTTCTTGTGCTCACTTTTTGTCCTTAATGTTTTGTTAGTAAATGGATGAAAAGTGAACAGGACCTCCAACAATTAGACAAAAAGTGCAATAACAATGATAGCTTAGAGACGAAAAGTGAACAAGACCAACAATTAGAGACGAATTTTATAATTATCCTATAACTTAAGAACGAAAAGTGTAATTTTTTTAAATTATAATTTATTTTAAATAATAATTAAACTTTTAAATAAGAATTTAAAAAAAAAAAAAAAAAAAAAAACTCTTAAAGGTCATTTGGCAATCATTATATGTTGAACCATAGTCAATGACTCAATATTACAATGTAGAACACTGTCATACATGCACGTTCATTTGTAATGTATTATAGATTTTTTTTAAAGTTTATTTTTAGTGTATCGTAGGTTATTTTAAGTATACATACTAAAAATGAACTTAGGCTATGTTTGGAAACCCGGAAAATGACTTCTGGAAGTCATTTTCCGAGTTTTTGGTGTTTGGCTACACCTGGAAAATCCAGTCAACGGAAAACATTTTCCGTTGACTAGGGAAAATGAGCCCAATTTGGCGGAAAATGACTTCCGCCAAATTTGGGCGGAAGTCGTTTTCCGCCTTTCTCTTTCGTTATTTTTTTTTTTTTTTTTTTTTTTTTTAAATCTGGCGGAACCCAGTTCCGCCAGAAACCATAGCTATGGTTTCCGGTGAACCCAGTTGGGTTCCGCCGGAAGCCAATTTTTTTTTTTTTTTTTTTTTTTAAATCTGGGTTCCGCCGGAAGCCAATTTTTTTTTTTTTTTTTTTTTTTTGTTTTAAAAATATAAAATGAATTTTTAATTCAAAATAAAATATTTAATTATACTATTCTACTCATTTTTCAGAAAATGAACCAAACACACCAAAACAGTTTTCCAAATGCAACCAAACACTGGAAAAGGAAAATGTTTTCTGAAAAATGACTCATTTTCCAGAAACCATTTTCCAGAAGTCATTTTCCTGCTTTCCAAACGCACCTTATAGTAGGTTAAAAATAAATCTTTAATATATTAAAAAATGAATATTTATGAATGGCCAATTGGTATAATTTGAAGTTGTTTTCTGTTTTTCCATGAATTAAATTTCTAAGCAAGTAATTTTAGGCAATTAAATGTTATTTTTGTCAAGAACAATTTAGTTCAAAAATTAATAAACAAATCAATCTCTCAAGGATTATTATACCTCTTTTTCACCTAGTACGTGATTTCAAAAATAACATTTTCCTATTTGCGTTATTTTTTTTGCGCAGTCTATTTTTATATCACCACCACAACGTATCTCTAAAAGAACTATCAAAGAAACCTCCGTCTATTGATTAAATACCGAAAGCCCATGATAGGGGATCAATACATATAATCATTGTTTCTCGACATTGGGGGAGATAATATACTAGCTTTTAATGGAAGGAATGCCAAGAAATTTCATAAAATTAAAAGATCTTCATTATTTAAATCCACATACTAGTTAGTCTGAACTAGAAGTTCAAAAGTTAATCTATTTGCAATATTAGGAAATAATCTGTCAAATACATCTATTGATCATACCGATCATAAAAGAGTGACTAGGTCACATGTACCTTCCCCAACATGGACCAAATATATCTACCGATACTCCTTGACGCCAGAAGTGTAGGAGACCTATCGGTGAAAAAGATATGAATCATAATACTAGATCTAGTAAAGAAACATTGTCACTCTTGAAATAAGGCTTGAACAATTATGTCCTGCAGACGTTCGTCAAGATGACAAAAAACCCTAATAAAATTTATAAGTGCACCTGTAACACCCCGAAATTTTGAAACTTTTAAAACTTATATAATAAAGGTAAATCCTCATTAAATCCCGAAATCAAACATAAGAGTATGGGGTGTTATGCCACACCTGAGCTAGAGAACTCAGGTGCACAAGCTAACTAACTAAAATCCTCAAATAATGTCAATACGTAAGCATGGCACGCAGGCCGAAAGGGAAACTAGCTACTCTACGCCTCGGATCTCTAGTGCGCTCTGGGATCTACTCATCTGTGCCTGAAAGCCAAATATATCTGTTCAGCGAGCGATGCTGGTAACCCACTCCAACGCGTTGAAATACGATATATATATATATATATATATATATATATATATATATATATATATATATATATATATACGAAAATCATTTTGAAGCAGGAAGATATATACTTAGGAGACTCTAGCTTTAAAACCAAGAATAGACTCAGCAAATAGGGACAAGCACATTAGTCAATGATAAACAGTTAAGTAGAGATAACATCATAAGGAATACGCATCTAAGGTCACGGATTACTTTTCAATTCAAACACATCATCATTCAAGTATCATTCATATCACATAATCATTGATGGCGCCATGGGACCAATCGCATGCCCCGAACATGAGGGTTAATGCTTATAGCATTAACACGGCCCCGCAGCACCCTACCTCAGTACCGTGGTACGAGGGGAGTTGATCGCAACCAACCCTTTGAGAACCGCTGACGAACTCAACGTCGGACCACGATCCGACACACCGCTGACGCGCCCAGTCGGTGGACCGCGATCCCCTTTACAAGGGGGAACTTACGACCCTACACACCGTTGATGCGCACAATGGACCGTAGTGGATCAAGCCCGACACACCGCTGAGCTAAACTCAGTCGGCGGGCGAAGATCCTCGGAGACTACGGCCTTACATACCGATGTCCCATCACTCGGTGGATCGCAGTCAGCCGTAGCCCTACACACCGCCTGATTACTCAGGTCGGTGGACTACAGCCTTCCTCGGCTTGTTGGCCCTACACACCGCCTGGCGCGTCCAGGTCGGTGGGTCATATCACCGAGGTCCATGTGGACCTCCAGTCCTATACATAATCTTTATATACCTGACCGGTCTCTACCAGTCTGGTTAACAGTTGGGATGGTTCTCAGCCCATTCAACTACCCGTATAGTGGACCTCAATCCTATATAATATTCATATACCTGACCGGTCTTAACCGACCTGGTTAACAGTTGAGATGGTTCTCAGCCCATTCAACTGCCCGTATAGCCCACTTTGATCTTAACCAAGTTGGGGTCATGCATCACATAACACACAATAGCACATAATAACAAGTAATAGCACATAGGGAAGGGGGAGACATATAATTAAGCCTACGTGTGATCATTCACATACTAAGAATCGCCCTAAGGGGTTCATACGACTTTCACCTAGGTCGACGGATTACCGATTCAACTAGCATGCAATTCCTAAGACTCTTTTATCCTACGAACGGTACCCGAAACATTAAACTAGACTCAAGCACGACAAACGGGGTCCGTTGGGACACCACGGGGAATGGGGGACATCAAACGGGGAAGCCGGGGTCCGAGGTGGGGCATGGACCAGTGGGTAGCCGGTGGGTGGGGGTCACCCGCCGATGGGCACTGTTCCGGGCAGCGAGTAGCCGGCTGCCCGGTGGCTGCCCGCTGCCGGGCAGTTCCCTTTTGGGCAGCGGGTAGGTGGTGGGTTCCCCCACCCCCACCTACCCCCCACTGACTCATTCATCATAATTTCGTCCCGGGATCCTTTGTGGAACCCGAAACCAGCTTAGACACTTTTAAACGCAATTGATGACACCACATAGACAATTAACGGATCAAAAGCAAGAATCATATAGCACATATCCTATCATGACTTCTAAACATAATCAACATCCGAACATGCGAAATCCCACCCAATTATACCAAGAATAACACAATACGAAATTCCCAATTTTAACCTAGGGCTCTAATCATATTCAAATCAATAAAATCATAGTTCATCTTTTAATTACCAAGACATCAAGATTCATCAATAATATCACATAATCATCAAGAATCTCTTATCATCATCAAGATCACACATAAAATTATCTCACAATTATCAAGAACATATCATCAATATGATAAACGATTTATCAAGACACAAGTATAGAGAGGAGGCCAAAGAAGATAATTATAGCAAGGAAAATAGGTTTTGTTGAGACATGGGTTACCTCTTAGCCTTAATTAATCATCCCTTGGCTATTAAGGTTCTTCCCTAAGATTTCCATCCGTTTTGATCTCCCTAGGCTTGGTAGTGGGGAGTCCCTTGGGAATTCTTGTGTGGTGATATCTATTGTGGTGTGACTTCTAGGTGCCTCCTATGTCCTTATATATATATTTAGGAGTCCTAATTAGGGTCTGAATGGTATGGGTTTACTAATTCTATTCCTTATAGGACTAAGGACTTGTTTTAGGGATAAGGGTCCATGGTCCATGGTGGACCATATTAATTAATTAAAGAGAATCATAACCATAATCTGAATAGTAAAGGTATACTTTCTTTATTCCTAATAGATGTGTAGGCCTAGGATTCCTAATTAGGATCTGATTAGTAAAATGTTGACTTTCTTTATTTCTAATGGGCTTATAACTCTAGTGTAGGCAATGGTCCACGATCCGTGGTGGACCATATTAATTAATTAAAGGGATTTCTAATCAAATTAAATTCTTTTTAATTATTATTAATGGAATTAATTAAATAATTAATTCGGGTTTAAAGGCCGTAACACGGGGTGTTACAGCACCAAACAAACGTAATACTAGGGATGTAGAACGACCAGATCAAAATATCTTTGGGAAATGTCTAGAATCTGGTTATTTTAGAAAATTGCCATTATCTTTTACAAATATGGGAGACATTTATAAAAAGGTTATAGTTGTCGATAACACAATTGCCATTACAAATTGCTCGTTGATAATCTGGATCCAGAGTTAGGCACCGGAAGTGTCATGACTATTTAACATATAAAGGAGCAATTAAGGCATAGCTCGACTCGCTAAAATGAATAAATTCTCTTTATAACATTACACTGTTGAGCGTTAACCCTGAAGGTTACAAATGGGTGTGTGCATGAAAGAGAAATAAGAATAACGAAGTGATAAGATATGAAGCGAGTTTGTAGCCTATGGGTTCACGCGGAGACCCTTAATTGATTTTAATCAAATATACTCTCTCACGGTAAATGGCATCAAGTTCCACTACATAATACAATTGGTAGAATAATAAATTTAGATATGCAGTTAAATTTATTTTGAGAAATCCCGGATGGATTTATAATTCTCGAAATGAGGATTTATTTAGTATTATTATGTGCCATTATTTACTCTTTAAAGAGTTGTGAATGGGGTTAACTCATGTAGAAGGAATAATATGTACCATTATGTGCTCAATAAAGAGTTGATAAATGGACTTATTTATTATCTCAGTCAATATTGATAGTATAAGCATCAATGAAATATCTAAAGAGCTTGATGATATCAGTTCATGTCTAAAGACAGAGTTTTTGAAACAAAAGCTTGGGAAAGCTAAGTTTTATCTCGACTTGAAGATCGAGTTTTTCCTTTGAATTTCATTCATTTATCTATATGGTTAAGTATCATGGTTTTGTCGAGCTATAGGTTGCCTAATAATCTCTTGAAGTAGATAAGGAACCGTTTAGACTCGGTAAGAATACCTTAACAGTCTTTTACTTCATTTGCCGTTAGAACATCGTTTAGAACCAGAAGTTCCATAAGACATGATATTTGCGATAAAATAATTGCTAGCAACATCTAGGACTCCTCCTACAATGAAATATTGGAATAATGTTTAATATATATTCCGAGTTACAAAAGAGTTTGGCATTTATATGAGAAACAAATGTAAGACTTTGATAGGCAGTTTGGGTATTGGCCATTATATATGTTTGATCCCCGTGATGCCAAAATTTCAAACTGGTTAAATAATAAATTACCACCAATGTCCCAAATGAGGACAATAACACTTGAGTTGCACAAATAATAATGACTATGTTAAAAGAATATTTGACAAAGCATATATAGTGTCAAAATTCAACCAATACGAGCTCCAGAAGAGTCTCAAAATTATTGTGCAAGATATTCACTCTAGTGACAATCTAGAAGATTTGACTAATCCATTTCTAAAATTTTGGATATATATTTTATCATGTAGAACTTGAAGATTGTTATCTTCAGGAAAAACGAGAAGTACATTTACTCGAATCAATCCGGAAGATTGGACGTAAAATCCTGAAGATTAAGTCATAAAAAACTAACAGTTGCTCACTATTTGCAACACAACAGGAAGTACGTTTACTCGAATCAATCGGAAGATTGGACGTAAAATCCTGAAGATTAAGTCATAAAAGACTAACAGTTGCACACTATTTGCAACACATAAATACATAAATATCATGTACTCTTTTCCTCACCAGTTTTCTCCCATTGGGTTTTCTAGTGTGGTTTTTAACGATGCATGAGTATGATATAATAATGTAAATGGAAAAATGTTGCAAAATAATTGCTTCAGTAGACAAGCTCTAAAATCCTGAAGATTATGTCGATTATGCCTTGAAGGCTCATGGTTGTACTCTTTTTCCTTAACTAAGTTTTTCCCACATGGTTATCTTAAGTTAAGGTTTTTAACGATGTGACCAATACAATATATGTTTTTACATATATCATGTACTCTTTTCTTCAACTAGGTTTATCCCACGTGATTTTCCTATTGAAGTTTTTAACGAGCCATGCATGAATGTATTCTATTCTATCCATATACCTGTACTTGTTTAGATTTTTCCCACGGGGTTTTCCTAACAAGTTTTTAACGAGGCAAGGTCATAGACAAATAATGTCCAAGGGGGAGTGTTATAAATATATCATTATGTGGACATTATTATAGATTGTATAACAGTTGTAACGGTTTCTGTATTTATGTTTCCATTATATCTTCCGTTACGTTCGTATTCTATATATAGAGGTGTTGTGGTTGTATGATGACAGACAGATGAATGAATAAGAGATTCCCCTTTTATTCATTTTCTCTCTATTCTGTTTTCCTTTTAACAGTTTGGCATTACTTGAAAACATAACAATTAAATTTTTGGACAACTATTCAAGCATTTAGTTGGTAGTTGGTTTAAACTTCCCAAAGAATTTTTTAAAATTTCAAATATACCCATAACAGAGTTAATGCCATATGGAGTCCCAAGTATATTGATTTTGCCACGTTTAGTTCTAAACTTTTAAATTGACCAGTTGTGGTCCTTTCGACTTTCAAATTGTTACCATCCATGGTCCAAGTAAACCATTTATGGTCCTTCAACTTTCAGAATGTGACTAGCTGTGGTCCTCCTAGAAGGACCACATCTAGGTTAAAATTTGATAGTTGAAACATTGCTGGTTAACTTGGACCACAGATGGTAACAATTTGAAAGTCAAAGAACCACATGTGGTCAATTTGAAAATTTAGGACTAAACATGACAAAATCACTGTACTCGTCAGACTCCAGATGGTATTAACTCCCCTTAACATATGCAAACAATAAAGTTATCCTACACAATTGGCTATGAATTTCCGAAAAATAGGTTTAGATAGATCGTAACCAAGACGAACACAAATGGTGACTCCAAAAAATATGCTTAAATAAACGGAGCATAGAGATTAGAGAGGAAGGCAATTTATATCATGTATCAGGATCCAAATAGCATTATAGATTTATAGATCATGAATTGAAGTAACGAGATACAAAATTAACACTCGAAAGCTACAAAATTTCATAACACAAAACACAAAAAATCACAAGACAAGACATATAACACAGCATTATGGACCCAACAACTAGATTGAAAAGACGGTACAGAATTCATACTCGTAAGTTACATAATTTCATAACACAATACACAAAAAATCATAATACAAGACACATACATGGATACACATTATTTTTCAAATTTGATTTAAGTACGAAGTACATAATTGTGTTTATAGGCACAAAATTTCACAACACGAGTGCAAGACACAAAAATTAATAACATAAGACACAATTACTAATTTGTTTCAGGTACAAAATTCATACTCATAAGGTACAAAACTTCATAACGTAAGACACAAAAAGTGATAACACAAAACACAAACACATGAACCAGGGTCCATAGTGCAGTATGAACCATGATCCATGGTATAACGATTGAGAGAGGAAAACATGGAAGAACCAAAAAAAAACTCTCCGAAACTCCTTTTTACGTATAAAGAATGCTTTATAAACTCTCCGGAACTTCTTTTTACTTCTTTTGACGCCAAAGGTTCTAACTTCTAACTATCAAACAGTTTCTTAATTTCAAAAGTCTTCCTTGGTTAAAACCTGCTTATCATTAATATAAAGATGAACTTCAATTCCCATTGAATGCGCCAAATAGAGCCTTAAATCACACATTTTTTTATCTCTTATTATTTTAATTTCTAGTTCATTATTGTGTTGGATTGATTTATAAACCAAACTACCAGAATTGCAATTTCTCTTACCTGCCGCTTTCATTCATATTGATCACTTGGGATTACATAATTTATGAACAAACGATTACTAACCACACTAGAAATAAACCATACATTTTCATACACTACTTCATACATACATGGCTAGATTAGCCAACCTGTATATGGTCTACTGCATTGTAGATGGCTGATTTGTTACAGGAGGTGTGGGAGTGGCTCGCTTAGCTATTATGGTTTGCAGTTGTGGCGAGATTGCGGTGGGTGATCTTGCAGCTTGAGCTTGCTGCACTGGCCGGATTATGTATTGGTTCAGAGCATCAGAATAGGCTTGTCCCGATAGGCTTCCACGCATGCGCCCGGTTGGGCGCCAGTTTTGATCCCCTGACAGTAAATCCACTGGTGCGGCATGGCCTCCTCCTATATTTCCAACCCTCATTTGGTCATTTGCCAATGATTCCCGGGATGCTGCATTAGGGTTCATGGAAAGAGGAGGTAGAGTTGGAGACAGTTGAATGGGTTTTGCCACTTGGGCAGTGCGCAGGGCAGCTTCCCTCGACTTATTATTATGTTGGCTGTTAACGACGCCTCTTGCCTGACCACTGGCTTGGAAAGGACTTCGAGAGAAACTAGCCGGAGATGGTTGAGCAATACCTTGGGGTTGACTCGTGGCGTGAAGTGTCTGCCAATTAGTGTTTGATCGTTCAGTTGTAAATCCCGAGGGTGCTCTGAAAGGTTGACCAGAACCGGGTGGGTGAGCCGGGCGAACAGAACCAGAAGAATACCCCGGCTGCCAGCATTCCAACATAGAAATCAAATGAGAAAGAGCCATATATAACCATACTATACTGAAATATTATCATGCAATGAAAAAGGAACGCGAGCCCAAACAGCCTCCTCCTTCGTCAAGATAGCTAAGGATACGAACTTGTAACCACAAGTTTACAAGTTCGAATCCCAACCCTCTTGGTTTGAGCCAGTCAGCTATGGGAAACCTAGGCTGAGTAGTGGCTGTGGGTTTCTCTCGTCACCCAAAAGAACTGAATAGAACTAGTAACCGAGAAACTTACTGGCATGCTTGTTGACGTTGATGACGGTATTTGTGATGCTTGGTGCATATTTGAATTCGATCTCAAGAACTGTTGCTGCCTTACATGGCTACTATGAACTGTGTCAATATTCATCATCGATGCGACAGGAGAATGCTGAGAAGCTGGCGTGGGACTACTATTTACTGGTCTCTGTTGAGGCACGGAATAGGGCACCTGGGCAGGAAGGGCCTGAACTGCAACTGGTATTCTACCTACTGCATGCCTAACTGCTGATTGGTTGGCAGCCGAATTTGCGAATTGGTACTGTTGTGCCGGCATAGTATTGGGAGAAGAAACTCCACCTTGCCCCATGACACACGCTGGAATATGATCATCAATTATAATTGGCGGTGGCATCGAACTTGTTGGAGTGGGCTCAGAAGCACCGCCAATATGTATATTTAACATAGAGCTAGATGTCCCCGATCCATACGTGGAGCGAAGAACTCTTGACCAGAAATCCTCACTTGGATTATTAGTATCAGGTGGTTGATTTTGGCAGGTGGCCAAGGAAGAAGCTATATGGTCTCCAGTCATTCCCGCACCCACCACATATGTTGCATCATCTATATCTGTAAGATTCGGCTGCAAAGTTTTATCCTTTGAAAAATCGGTGGGTTTATCTGGTGGCCTCTGATCGTCATCATCGGGTTCTATGATTGCCTTCCATGAACCATCCGAAGAGATGATCACATCATTGATGTTCTCCCCAACTTCTTGCAAAACCTATGAGAGAAAATTTGTTACCACAGAGAAGAAAACGCGCCAAGCAAAAACATAGATGGATATAATTTTACTTGCCTTGGCCATATCTTGATCAATGCGGATTTCAGGGAAGCAGGCATGTTGATTACAATGAGGACAACGCCATGATGGTCTTCTTGTATTCATGTCGAGATAATTCTCATAATCAAAACACTGTTGGTGAAATAAGCAAAGCATTCTGGGTTAGCTCATAATGCTTTCTTGCTTCATCAAACTAATTCCTTTTGTCATAAATAAAATATAAAAAATGAAAACAACAAAATAGCCAAAATAACCTAAAGACGGACTGCACATATAAGCATTTTCCAACCCAACAGGATAAAATATAAGCATCGTATACATGATATCTTTCGGGTTTATGTTAATATTAATACACATTTTACAGCAATTACCTGGAGATGTTTACATGAAATGCCTTTAACAGGAGTCTTGATGCGTTTGAAGCTATAAAATCAAAGACAAAGCTATCAGCAGAATGTTTATATATTGTTCAAAACTAAGACTCTTCTCTTTACAGTAGAAACTAGAAAGTGAAGATATATATACTGAAAATACCCAAAACTTCAGTTAATCGTTACAAAAATATACACATAACAACAATGATAAGCTGTTTAATCTTAAGTGCTATGTAAGAGCGTGAAGAAGCAACGGAGGAGAATAGCAAACCTTATGGGGCAATTCAAGGATATTCTTGATGGCCCTTCTATTAACTCACAGTCTACATTAGTGGAAATAACCAAAATCATTAGTACTACTTTTTCAATTCTGTTGGAGCATAATAAGAAATGTGTGTGTTGTATAGGACTGATGAAATACACGCATTTCCAACTAGTATAATGGATCATAGATACATAGAAATGCTCATAGCTAAAAGTTTCGGTGCATCATAGGTGTGTATCAATCAAAATATATGTTATGTGCTATTGCTCTTCTTTCAAATAAACAAACCCATCACCCATTGGCCATGATATCCAAGTATAGTCGTATAGATAACCATAAAAAATATTTTATGCATACCTGGATCAACTGAAGCAGATGCGGGTTGCACATAATCTGGAAGTGCAGCGGAGTCTGGGGTTGACATCATACTCATAGAGGCGATGACAACAATGTAACTTCCTTCACAATAATTAGTAAATAGTAAGCCTTTTAACAATTCAACAACATTAACAACAAGTCAGATATTGCAGGAAAGTTTTTCTGAGCCCACCATTAAACTCGCCCACAACTTGAAGAAGATTGACTCCGTTGTTAAGCATACTTGACAAAGGTGTTGGAATTTGAGGTCCGGTATCCTAGAAAAGACAAACAATAAATAAAATAAAATAAAAAAGGAAATACAACTTTTCAGAAATTGCACTGCCAATAGAGATTACTTATATGCTTATAACAATGCTTCGTGGAATCGTGGTCAATGCAACATACCATTGACAGATTGTTTCGGTTTGGAACTCCATTCCCATTGAGGAGAAAGCTGCAAAAACGAAACAAGAAAGACTGTCAGAGCAGAGTCACATAATACGATATTCTATAAGAGAATCACTAACAGAGTATGCAATTAGTCAGAAAGAATATGGAGAAGGGTTTCGTACTTCACATTAGGGGGTGTTATGAGACATGATGATGTCTCTATAGTATCTAAATGAGCAACAAGTAATCTCTGCAAGCAAAAAGGGAAAAAGAATATGAGCTGCAACCCAAATGTCAGTATGTTTCACATTTAATCACTTTTTCAAACAAATAATGAGAAGTGGAGAAAAGAAACTCATATGATATCTAAACAAATGCAACTACTGAAATGATAGAATTAGCTATTCCTCTCCTCGCGGGGAACATGGATACTTATTATAAGGGAAAGCACCTAGACTAAATCAAGAATTATTTCACAAACTCATTTGAGATATTACAAATTTAATCATGATTTCAAATCTATGGAGGAGGTGCATACTATTTCAGCTTCTGGAGAAGATTTCGTGTTCTCCGATATGTGAAAGTCATACACCAATGTACCAAATCCAGGCTACAATTTGGAAAAGTAAAAATTGCATTAGTTCAAACTGATTGAACCAACACCACGGGGTGGGGTTGGATTAAACAAAGCGAAAAAAGAAACACATGAAAACACAATATAAATACCTTCATTTCCAAAAAGGCAAGTATGTGGCCCATCCTCATTTTTGGAAAGAATCTGTCCGTACAAAATTTCTTCAGTAACATTGTACAGAAAAAACCACTCATCACAGATAAGCACATTTTTAGTATAGCATCACAACTCAGAAGAAAAGGAAAAAGACAACATTCTTTGCTAAAGCAAATCCTGTTAATCTAACTATCAGAATTCAGTAGCAATTACAAAATTTATCTATGAGCTCAATGAGTTATCAAAAATTATTGCAATTCAAATATTTAGAAACAATGTAACACATTCAAGCTATAACACAAGAAAAGAGTGGCAAAATTCCTGCCTTGACATGATTCTTGAGATCATGGATGAAGAACCAGTACATGCACTTTCGAAATCTGTTGTGCTGCAGAAGTAGCTAGATATCTGCAGATGTAAATAAAAATAAAACAAAGTAAAACAAAAGGGGAACACTTTATAATATGAGATAGAGAAACATACGAATTAGAAAAATTAGTTTTAAAAAAATAAAATTCATTAACCTCATTTGCAAGACAGTGAAGCTCTTTGGAATCTCTGTCCAAGAACCACCCACTACTGCAAGCATTCTACAAATAGGAACCAGTTCAAAGGAGTTGAAGAGATAGTTGGCTAGTGTTGACAAGAAGTCCAACTAATGTTACAATTAAGAATCAACATCTCAAAGTCAGACAACATTAGCAGGATTTCAAACCAAGAGTGTAATTGAGAATGAACATCCCAAGTGACATTTAAGATACCAAAAGTTAAGAAGATCTGAATGCACATGGATAAAGTTTTCAACTTTCCTAGCTAGCTTTGTTTACATATTCTCCAATTTTTCAGTATGTAATAACCAGTCCAAACATGAAATTATCATCAATTAGATAAACAAAATACTTTATTTAACATATAAATAGGATGTTGTTTACTTTCAAGATCCCGGACGGTACTGGTCATTTTATCAAGTGGGAATGCTATTTCTGGTTAGTGCAAGAAGAGTCACGCTTCTCCATTAAGAATTCATTTATGTTATCCAGTATCCAGCAGAGACTTTAGCCAGCATAGGCATTTTTGTATCAAGGCTGGATCACTGCTCAGTTGCTCTAATAATAGTAGCAAGCAAATAACATGAAACCTTATTTCTTAGATATTGGCACTTTACCCAACAATTTCACCTTTGAAGCCATCGGTATTGGTAACTAGCTTTCTATTGCTAGTTTATGAAGACAAAAACAGTCAACAAGACAAAGTCACTCAACGCAATGCTAGCAGCTAGATCAAAATTATCTTGTGCATGTGATATCTACAAATATCCTATTTTTCTTGTCTGCAATTCTCCATGTAGTCCCTGTTCTACAACCTTTCATATCCTGGAGAAGACAACCTCATGAATACCATATAGTTAGGTAAAAACCTGGAAGACCTCCACTTGGGTAGAACTTCAAGCAATAGAACAGGCAGCCAAAGCTATTTTATTTACTAGTGTGATAAGAGTCAAAGGATTAGGCAGTCTGTCAAGTTGATAAAATGAAGTACAAAAGACAGACCATATCTTGCACGTACAGGTCATGGCAGGCAAAAAAAATGAAAAGAGCATTGATTACTGAATCTTGTCATCTGGAAGTAAGATTTAACTGGTATTTAGGAATTACTTTAGCAGAAAGCATTAGAACCATAACAGCTGCTAGCGCATATGGCTCATTTCTGTGACAACACACCTGTAATCATGGGTCATTTGGAGATAAAAAGATATTACATTTCATAATGGGTTCAATTTTGTGCAAACATGACAATATAAAAATGAAACATTACGATTAAAATAAAGTTCCTCATAGACAAAAATTTAAGAGAAATAATGTACATGGATATTAGTATTAAGCTTCTACTACGGAAGTTCAGCCAATGGGTGCAGTGAAGTTTTCAATTGGAAGGCAGAGGCATTATGTATTCATCAACTTTTTATAGAATTTTGAGAATGAAGGGAGCATTTATGAGAATTGAGAAGAAAGGATTTCCACAGAGTTTTATTTTCAAGGTATTATTGATAGAATTTATGAGTCCTTTCTCATTTATTTTTTTCTTCCATTTTCAACTTGACGAGTTTAAATGGGAAACTCCAAAATCAGAAAATAACAAGTCCTTGCAAGACAATTCCATAAAGTAAGATAAAGACCACAACTTTAACTTCCATTCAAAGGTACCTGTTTCAACAGTAAAGGCAAATCTGGAGCTTTAGTTGGAACCTCATGGCTTGCAATAGCATCATCGATACCCCTGTAATTACCAAATTTCCAGTCAGTAACACCAAATGGGAGCGAATTAAAAATTCAGCAGAATGACCGTTTCTTGCTTCTGGGAATTGCATAGTAGGTGTGATCCTCTATCTTATTTAAGAATTCACTATCATATCATACTATATATATTATCAAGAATTAAGCTTCATGTTCTTCAATTCAGAAGGTGTGAAGGACCTAATCAACATAATGTGTTTTACATACAAGCTCATATAAACCTCATATTCATCAAAATACTCATTAAACTGCCTAGTACCCACTAACCCACGTCTTGGTCATATATAGATATGTGCTTCACATGAACAAATTAAAATTTTTAGCAGGTTTGAAAATTCTCTTTCTAAAATTTTATATAAGTAAATATGTATTGACAGAACTCAGAAGTGACAAAGAGGGAAAACCCCCAAAAACAAATCAAAAATCAAAATCCGTGGTACACAGTTAACATCAAAGTATAGAAGATCCCAATCGAGTATTAGAAACAGAAGAAGCGTGCTCTTGTACAGAAAATTAGAAAAAAAGTGGATACTTGGAGAGAGATATGCAGAGCTTGTAGAACTCTACGACGTCGTTTAGCGGCTGGTTGCATGCGAGTTTAGCTAGCCGATCAGCGATGGCTGATATGCTGCACGGGTTCACACACGGTAGCTTTGCAGCATTGCCTCCACCGCCGCTGGCGTAGGCTCCCGGCGTCAGTGACAACGGATGATTTACCGCCGTTCCGGCCATTTTCCGAGCAACACAGTGGTGTTTGTTTGGAGTTTGTGGAGTGTTTACTTTACTGTTTAGAGGAAAAAGTAGAGCAGGATGCACGTAAAGAAGCTGTCCTAAACGCTTAATACCTTTTAAGACTATAATCTAAGTAACAAAGAAAGGGGTGGGGATGAAAGGAGAAATCTTTTGCCTAAAATGGATCATTTATAACGTAATACAGTGAATGATAAGTTGGGACAAGAATATTTACCGAAATAAAAATAAAAAAAAAAAAAAAAAATCAATGTGTGCTTGGCGTGTGGGGATGTCTGTAACTATTCATTGGAATATGCATAAGGCATAACCTGTTAGCTAACGCAACTTTCAATAAACCATTCGTATTCGTGTTTGATAAATATTTATTTGTATTCGTTTATTAAGGTAAATAAATATAAATAAACAAATTTTAAAGCTCGTTTAATAAATGAACAGAGTCTGAATATTTATATATATGTTCGTTTGTTAAGAGCTCGTGAATGCGTTTGTTACTGTTTGTTTAATTATGTTTATAAACATGCTCGTTTAGTATTTGTTTAATAATTTTCATGAATATCCTCATTTAGTGTTCGTTTAAGATTATTTACAAACATGCTTATTGAAGTGTAATTTTTTTTTTTGAGCATCTCTAACCGGGCGTCAAAGCACCAAATTTGGAGGAAAAAAATGGTGGAGTAGTGCTCCAACCAAGGCAGTCATTGCACCAAACTTTTGGTGCAGCATGAATAGTGTTGCGCCATATTTAGCACTGCACTATTCATCTACGCCATTGTTGGTGTGGATTTGTTTTCTCCATTTTGCCGTTGCTATGTACTTAATCTTTTTTTATAATTCCTTTTGTATCTTTATATACACATATATATAGAGTTGCACTCAGATGCAAATGAAGTGCCCAGGAAGGAAATGTGAATCAATCAGCGTGCGACACGTGTCCAGATCTAATAGATTAAAAAAAATGTGGTGGCATTTTCGTAAATAATTGAACATCAAAGTGCAAGTAAAATATATTATAGGTGCAAGTAAAATTTACACTGATCATCAATACGAAGTGCACCTATAGTTATAAGTAGTTGCACCTATAGGTATAAGTAGTTGCACCTATAGTTATAAGTAGGTGTACCCAGGTGAATGAATGGTTGCGGGAAGTGAATGTTAACAAGACAAAATTACATGCACTTATAGGTGAAAGTAGGTGCACCTATAGTTATAAGTAGTTGCACATATAGTTATAATTAGTTGCACCTATAGTTATAAGTAGGTGCACCCAGGTGAATGAATGGGTGCGGGAAGTGAATGTTAACAAGACAAAATTACATGCACTAATAAGTGAAAATAGTTGCACCTATAGTTATAAGTAGTTGCACCTATAGTTATAAATAGGTGCACTTGGGTGAATGAATGGTTGCGGGAAGTGAATGTTAACAAGGCAAAATTACATGCACTTATAGGTGAAAGTAGGTGCACTTGTAAGTGATTTTACTTGCACTTCGATGTTCAATTATTTACGAAAATGCCACCGTATTTTTTTTTAATCTGTTAGATTTGGACACGTGTCGCGCGCGGATTTGTTCGCATTTCCCTCCTGGGCACTTATTCGCACCTGAGTGCATCCCTCTCTCTCTCTCTCTCTCTCTATATATATATATATATATATACATATATATATATATATATATATATATATATATATATTGTTAAATATTTAAACATAAATTGTATATTATCAAAAAAAATATATCATTTAAAATATCTCACGCGTGTGCACTGGACGCGCTCGCTGGGCGCGTCCTGACTATGATTATTATAGAGTTAATACCCAAAATGGTCCATCGACTATGCCATAATTACCAATTTGGTCCTCAACTATCATTCTTACCTAATTAAGTCCTCAACTATGTAACTTTTACTCAATTAAGTCCTCAACTATACAATTCTTACCCAATTTAGTCATCAACTATACAATTCTTACCCAATTTAGTCCTCTGTATTAATTTGACTATTTGTTGACTGTCAAAAGTCGGGATAAAATTATAATTTTACAAGATTTCTCCTTCCTCTCCATTTAGCAGCGCCAAACCATGCAGCAATACACTCCGATCAAATTTCGATCGTCAAAAAATCATTGGAAATCAAATTCATGGGCTATCCGATGCATAACCACTACTTCGATACTGACAGGTTTAGAACCCAACCGGAGCTTATTGCTACATGGTTTGGCGCTGCTAAATGATGAGGAAGGAGAAACTTATAAAATTACAATTTTATTTCCACTTTTGACAGTCAACAAACAGTCAAAATGACAAAGGACTAAATTGGGTAAAAATTGTATAGTTGAGGACTTAATTGGTTAAGAATGATAGTCAAGGACCAAATTGGTAATTACAACATAGTCGAGGGACTATTTTGGGTATTAACTCATTATTATATTCTTCTTTTTCTATTTTAAAATCAGTTTTTGCTTCTTCTTTTTCTCTCTCTCCCCTCCCACATTCTCTTTCCTAATCACTCTTATATTCTCCCCTAATATCCTTAACTGATAATGTTACTCTAAGACATTCCCTAAAGGTCATAAGATCAAAACCCTTTGACTAAAGGTCATGGGATCAAAACCCTTTGACTAAATGCTCAAGAAATTCTTACACCTTATGAAATAATTTTTTGATTTGAAGATTTATTTATAATTTTAAAATCTATTTATAGCTAAATAATTTAATGCGTACTTATATTTATAACTAATTTTTTACGCGCATTGAGCGATTGGAATAATGCCTAATGTTTTTTTAATAAGTACTTTAAAGTATATCAAGGTAAGATTATATTGGAATTGTTCATGCATAGATAATTGAATATTGAATTTGCGTATTTAAATATGTAATTCTAAGTTTACAAATGCAAGACAATATAGACAAGATTGATTATAATTGTCAATAAAATCATTTTATAGGTATGGTTGAAAGAAAATACGGGACATAAGGGAGAGCAAATAAAAATTAGTGCATAAAATATTAAATATATACTAATATTGAAGAGCTAACGGCTGATTGCCAAACAAGGACATTGCGAGGTAATTCCCCACTTCAATTTGTTGTGTGATTTGAATTCTCTTTTATCAATAAATTCCCCAAGTACTTAATATGATTGGCTTAGTTATATTTTTTAAATTTTTTTTTAAAACAATTATTATTATTATTATTATTATTATTATTATTATTATTATTATTATTATTATTATTATTATTCATTTTACATGTTAATCTAAATAGCTAATTTTTTCAAATATCTTTTTACCAATCGTTGATATAATTCGCTGGTCAAATCCGCTAATATAATCTGCTAACCGCTAACTGCTGATTGTCAAACAAGGACATTGCGAGATAGTTCTCACTTCAATTTGTTGTGTGATTTGAATACTTCCTTTGTCAACAAATCCCTCAAGTAGTTAATATGATTGACTTTATTAATTATATTTTTTTAATTTTTTCATGGTATTAATAAAATACTTGGTAAATAAATATATAGCATTATTTTGTATTATAACTTTGATATTTAATTTTAAAAAAATAGTGCACAAAAAAGATAATATACAGTGTAGTGAATATAATCAATTGATGAGTTTGAATGTAAAGAATTTTTACGTACATTGGAGAAAAATAAAGACAATATAACTAATAAAATTATTTTTCTTAATTAATTTATTGATAATGAATTTTTATTTTTTTAATAAAGACATTGTATGGACAATGTAGCAAATATAATCAATTGATGAATTTGAATGTAAAGAATTTTCATTGGAGAAAAATAAAGACAATATAACTAATGAAATTATTTCGCATATTTAATTTATTGATAATGAATAAATTTTTTTGAATAAAGACATTGTAGACACATAATTCTAAAATAAAGAAATGCATATGTATTATTTTTGATTGTAGCTACTAAATTATTTTTTAATTTAATAAGAATAAAATAGAGTACTAATTATGCCAACTTTGATTGGGATGAGGTTCGAACCTAAGGCATTTCTTATTGAAATTAATGAGTAAGTTAACGGTGAACTAACAGAAATTAACGGAAAAGGTAATATTTAACGGAAAAGTTAACGGGGATAATCATATTCATTAATGATAAATTAGGAAAATCTTAAGAAAAAATTAAAATCTGATCAATCTGAGCCATTCATTTGATTAAAAAATTTGACCGTCATTTTTCTACCCATTATAGACCTAACTCTCTTGGGCTCTTATTAGTATAGTAGATAGATATTATATGTATACCCTTATGTCATTTTAAATGTTAATTTAAACAACTAATTTTTTCAAATATCTTTTTACCAACCGTTGATATATATAATTCGCTGGTCAAATCCGCTAACGCTAACTGCTAACCGCTGATTGTCAAACAAGGACATTGCGAGATATTACTCACTTCAATTTGTTGTGTGATTTGAATACTCTCTTTGTCAACAAATCCCTCAAGTAGTTAATATGATTGACTTTATTAATTATATTTTTTAATTTTGTCATGGTATTAATAAAATACTTGGTAAATAAATATATATCATTATTTTGTATTATAACTTTTATAGTTAATTAAAAAAAATAGTGCACAAAAAAAGATAATATACATTGTAGTGAATATAAGCAATTGATGAATTTGAATGCAAAGAATTTGTACGTACATTGGAGAAAAATAAAGACAATATAACTAATAAAATTATTTCTCTTAATTAATTTAGTGATAATGAATATTTTTTTTAATAAAGACACTGTAGGGACAATGTAGCGAATATAATCAATTGATGAATTTGAATGTAAAGAATTTTCATATTGGGAAAAAATAAAGACAACATAACTAATGAAATTATTTCTCTTATTTAATTTATTGATAATGAATATTTTTTTTTTGAATAAAGACATTGTAGACACATAATTCTAAATTAAAGAAATGCATATGTATTATTTTTTGGTGTAGCTACTAAATTATTATTTTAATTTAATAAGAGTAAAATAGAGTACTAATTATGCCAACTTTGATTGGGATGAGGTTCGAACCTAAGACATTTCTTTTTGAAATCAATGAGTAATTTAACGGTGAACTAACAGAAATTAACGGAAAAGATAATATTTTAACGGAAAAGTTAACGGATAATCATATTCATTAAGGATAAATTCGGAAAATATTAAAGAAATGATCAATTTGAGCCATTCATTTGATTAAAAAATTTGACCGCCATTCTTTCTACCCATTATAGGCCTAACTCTCTTGGCCTCTTATTAGTATAGTAGTTATATGTTATTTTGTAAGCTTTTATAATAATGTTATTAATTGTAAAAATTATTTAATTTGATTAATTAATTTATATGAAATATATTTTGTGATTCAGTTATTAAAAAAAATATATAATATTTTAATTTTTATGCATCATCTAGTCAATGTAATTTAAAAATTTCTATTATGTGTTATCGTATTTAAATTATTTTAAAAAAACTTGAAAATTAATCTAGCTAAAAGAAAAATATTTATAAATATAATATCAATATAATATGTGTGATTTATAATTTGTTTTCTATTTAAATCATTTTATCCAATTAATTTTTTTCATATATTTTGTTATGAATATTTTATTGGATTTTAAAATGTTTTGATTTCTCGTCCCATATCAAGAAGGTTTTTAGCTCTACCTTATTTGTAAGTTTTGTTTAATAAATTTTTATTAATAATTAATTTATTATTTTTATGATAATCATTTCATTTTTATAAATTATGGTTATTTATTTATGAAGAGAATGATGCGGTTATGGATTATTTTGCATTTAAGAAAGCACCTAAAAAAATTTCACTATTATTATTATTATTATTATTATTATTATTATTATTATTATTATTATTATTATTATTTGTAATATTTTCAAAAAATATTGTGAATCTTATTTTAAATTATTTGACATTAGTAATTTTTTCATTATATAATTTAAATGTTAGGTATGAAAATATATGTAAATTTAGGTAGGACATGTTTTGTTGACATGCCCTGGGCTTATAAAACCATACAATCATTATTGTGTGGATCATGGTCCATACAAGTTGTGTGGACCATATTTTGTATGCGGTAAAATAATGTACATTAAGTACAAAAATAATGTACATTCAATACAAAAATAATGTACATCGTATTTAAGGGATGTACATTATTTTTGTACTGAGTGTACATTATATTGTATAATGTACATTCAGTACAAAAATAATATACATTTAGTATATTAAAAATGCACTTTTTATTATTGTCCACGTAACACTATGTGGACCATGGTCCACACAATAATTTATGACCGGGCTTGGTCTGCAGTTATGACCGTATCTATTTTTTACCCTTCAATTATGAACGATACCCTTCAATTATGAACGAAGTGCTGCGTTTGGTCTCCGATGCTAGGTTTTCATCTCAACCTGACGGAATTTTTTTTTTTTAAAAAAAAAACATATATATTATTAGAAGGGTAAAGTACAAAATTCACATCTTATTCTTCTTCTTATATTGAAATCACTTTCACAATATTATTATTTTTTACTTCCAAACCTCATATTTCAAGGTTTTTCAACTCCAAATGCATTTCAATAACTCTCGTATGACTTGTTAGAAACTTGAGTCTTGTATAAAGAACATGAGACTTGGTACAAACAAGAGAACACTTGATCATCGTCTCTAGGCGTGTGAAACACACTATCCTAAAAGTTTCTGATTTCCCTTACTAAACAATACGAGTAATCAAACAAAAACTGTTGAGATACAAGAAAATGTCAAATTTCTCAGATTAATTTTATGAGAAATTTGTGATACGCTAGACCACCGATTATAGTGATATGTTAGGCAGCCGGCCAACGGCTAGCGCCTAGGCACCGATAAATCACTGCACTTTCATGGAGAAATAGAGAGAAAATCAAAGTCCACCCAAAGTTGCACCCTAACTCACAAGAAAGAGTCGTTATGCTAAAAATGCAAAACCAAATTGTAAACCTCACAAGAAAGAGTATTTATATGACTACTTAAAAAACATTTCCATTTTAAGCATATAATATATCAAATTAAGCCTCTCACTTAAGGAGAATCTAATCTAAATTCACTTTAATCCAACCCAAATCAAAAGTAAACCCACTCAAAAGCCTCATAACGACCACTTTAAATGTCATTAATTTTTCCAACAAACATTAAACTACAGGATTGAAGAAGACGGGTGAGTTGCTTGTGCATGTTGCAAAACAAATTGAAGAAGCAAGCACTGTAGAGACTGCAAATTATGAAATAGAATATAAGAAAGAAAACAATTCATGTGCAAATCACAAAAAAAATATAGTGCATTTCTTTAAAGAGGTTGCAAGTATAATGCAGTTTAAATACAATACAAGGAATAAGAAGCCTATAACAGAAGGAAATTCAAGCTTCCTTCTGCAAACTCTGTTTATGTGCTGTGACATTAGGCTTACAAAACATGCAAGAAATGCAGCTTAACAGCTGACCTGACATTTTCAAGATTAAGTTGTGACTCTACTTTCAATGTGGAGATCTACTTCAGAAAAAAGTCAGGGAAAGACGAAAAATAATGCAATTCGAAAGGGTATAGAAACTGATAAACCATCTAATCAGTGGGTTTATCATGTGGTGGCCGTGATCTGCTAGTGGCAGCACCAGATGAGCTTCCAGGCTCTTGAGAGTCCACGAGCTTGCGGAGCTGCTCTTGAAGAACTCGGACTCTATCTTCAGTTTTGTGGAGTTTTCTCCATCTGTAGGCAAACCAGAGGCCAAATCCTCCGTACACAACAATATACGAACCCCAGACATAAGGGTAAGTTTCTGCATTCTCTTTGATCTTGATATACTGTTCTTGGATCCTTCCCACCCAGCTACCATTAGATGAGCCTGTCCCTTGCATCTCTACATGTATTGCTTGTTGATCATCTTCTCCTTTTTGCTGAGTAGCCATAATTTATAACAGATTCTGCTACTAATGAATGGGTCAAGTTCAATTCTAAGTTGCTTGGCTATACCAGGAAATATAAGCAAATTCAATTCTGGGACCAACTGCCAGCAAAAAGATATATTTCATTAGTACTAGCTACAAACACATCCCATTCCAGACCTAGTTTTGAAACCCAGCAATGAAGTCGGGTCGAATATCTGGCGATGACAACATTTCATATATACAGTGAAGAGATTCATGGAATCTGCCATTATGAATATAAGCTGATATCATTGAGTTCCAAGATTAGGTATTTTTCTTCTTTATATGATCAAAACTACTACGAGAAAAAGAAACATCACACAAGCAGGCATAAAGCATTTAGCAATATGGAGGTTAGTACAAGAATGGAGTTTAGATTCAATCTCTTCTCTTCAATATTGTTTTCAATGATACCCAAATGCAATTTCTAGTTTGGTAATGCAAACTGTTTAGCCATTAATATATCTTGGTGAATTATGAGGGCACGAAATGAAAGTTAAAAGACTACGTGCCCAAAAATCAAAGAAAAACTCATCTTCGTTGAAGCAATTAATCAAACAGTTTTTGTGCACACATTTCAACCAGGCCAAGTGCAATTAGTCAAACAATTGTTGCGCACAAAGAATCAGAACACATAAACGAGTAGAGATTGATAAGCAAATGTGGGACCTAAAGCAGAAGCGAACCTCATAAGGTATTAATCTTGAGCATCCCAGCAAGGGTGGGAGAGACCATTGATATTGCTCAGTGTCGCGCAAAAAGGATGCTGTTGGAATTCAAAGTTTTAGAGGATAATATTGTGCGGATGTTACATTATTAGAAATTCAAATATTAGAAGTCTTTATTTTAATTTAGCTATTGAATATTAGAAATTCAAATATTAGAAGTCTTTATTTTAATTTAGCTATTGAATAACTCTCACCGTGATTCAATTCCCATTTTCCTATTATTGTTTCTTATTGGGGCGTTTGATTAGAGAGAAAATTAAAAGAGTAAAGAATTGTAATTTTCCTATTATTGTTGCATTATTGCTCATCTTGAATCCACTTTGCACAGTATGTGTAGTTACATCAACAGTGACAATATATATATATATATATATAATAATAATAATAATTATATAATAATGCACAAAAGTTCTCCACTAATGCAGCTTTACTAAAACAATTATTCCAGAGAGAGAAGCAAATGTCTTACGCTGCTGTAACTTCGCTTATGGAAACACTGTATCTACATTTCTTGCAATCACAGACACGCTTCCCTCTTGAAGATTTAGAGGCACAGATCAAAGATGCCAATAAAAATCTTGGCTTGCTGCAACTAATTCTTGAGGCGATTGCCAATGATGATGCGGGGGCCATGAAAGATGGAGAGATTGAGTTGGATTCAAAGGGTTGGACGAAGCAGCGTCTTCTTCGTATAAAGGCTTGCCTCCCCAGGGTTCATGGAATCTTCAATCAAGCAGTCAAGCGACTATGTAAAAAGCAGCTATTGACTTCTAGGCTCAGAGAGGTGATTGAAGTCAAACAAAAGATAGTTTCTCTCCATGAAAATCTGGGCTTGCTGCAAAAAAGTCTTGAGAAATTGGAGATCGGCTGTAATGATGCGAGGGTGCTGAAAGATTTAGAGGCGCAGATCAGAGATGCATCGTTCAAAGCGGAAGAAAGGATTGAGATGGAGTTGACTGCCATTTATCTACCAAACGGCAAGGGGGATAATCTTCATATAGCAGCTAGCCTGCTCAGGCTTCATGAAATCTTCAAAGAAGCAGAAAAACAGACTGATTACCACAGGAAGAAATTGATTAGGATTCAAACTAAATACCAGCTAATTCCAAAGGTTTCACTCCTTGGTCGGATCCGACCAAGAGGACTACTGCTTGTGAAAGGAGGAGGAGGATTATCACAGCCTGATCAAGCACACAAGAACATTATTGTGAGTAAATTTTCCAGAAACACTTCAAAGTTGGACAGTAGAATGGTGGGATGCCATGAGGCGTTCAAGACAATATTGGATAAGCTCACGCAACAATCAACTAAGGGGAGACAAGTTGTTTCAATTGTTGGCATGGGAGGAATAGGCAAGACCACTTTAGCACACAACGTTTATGAACATCTCTCAATTACTTCTTATTTTGACATGCAAGCATGGGTTACTGTATCCCAAGAGTTTAACGAGGAACAAATAATCCGATGCCTTATTGGTTGTGTTACAGCAGCATCAAGAGATGAACTCCATAAACAGAGCACTGACCAAGACCAATTACCCAAATTCAGCACTAACCAAGACCAGTTAGCTGAACGCCTGCGTAAACACTTGAAGGAACAAAGATATTTGATAGTGATAGATGATATATGGAGCACTACTGCTTGGGATAGTGTGCAAAGATGCTTTCCAGATGATAATAATGGAAGCCGTATACTATTGACTTCTCGACTCAGAGAGGTGGCAGAATATGCTAGCTCAGGTACCTCTCCTCTTAACATGCCTTTCTTAGATGCCGATGAAAGTTGGAATCTCTACGGCAAAGTCTTTGGTAAAACTGAATTCCTTCTTGTGTTTGAGCAAATTGGTAGAGACATAGTGAGGAAATGTAAAGGATTACCATTAGCTATTACTGTAGTAGCTAGTCTTCTCTCCAAGATAGAAGAGGAGGAGGAAAAGTGGAAGAATGTTGCAAAAAGTGTAATGGGTGATTCTAGTGATGCATGTTCTAGAATACTATATTTGAGTTACAATCAATTACCACACCGCTTAAAAGCTTGTTTTCTATATTTTGGAATTTTTGAAGAAGACTATGAGATCTCTGTGAAGAAGTTGGTTAGGTTGTGGGCGGCAGAGGGATTTTTGAGCACTGTGAAGCATGTGAATTTGGAGAAAGTGGCTATTGAATGCTTGCAAGATCTTGTTGATAGAAGTCTTGTTATAGTTAGCAAGCATAGATACAATGGGGAAATGAAGAGAATAAGAATCCATGATCTATTGCGAGATTTGTGCTTGAGAGAAGCTAGACTTGAAAATCTCTTGAATGTCAATGGAGTTAAAAAACCTTGTCGTTGGATAAGTCATACATTAAGATCTTTCTATAATGAAGTCAGGTTTGAAGATGAGTGCTTCCACAAATCTCATTCCTTTCACTTAACTCATTTTTACTATTCTTGGAAGGCAGATGTGAAACGTCTATTTTCACACTTGAAACTACTAAGAGTACTAGACATTAGAAATAGATTTTGGGATGGAGTTATAGACCTAAATGTGCTTGCAAATCTTGTTCATTTGAGATACTTAGCTTTGTCCACAAATAAGCGTTCTGAGATAAAGCTCTTTGAGCATTGGAATATGCAAAGTTTGATTGTTAGTGGGGGTGGTGTTATATTGTATTCCTCTGAGCCATCTGGAATATGGAAAATGCCACTATTAAGGAATTTTTGCATTGAAAGAATTTGTTCATTAGAAACTCCGTCAGTTGTTTATAGAAACTTAGAGAATATATCTTGGTTGGATTCTAAGTTATGTACAAAGGATCTATTTACAATGACTCCGAATTTAAAACATTGGGAGTTGATGGTGGATACTGTGTTATTAGTCTAGATTGTTTTTATAATTTTGTGCACTTGGAGCAGCTTGAGAAACTAAACATCAGAATGTGGAACCTTGTTATGTGTAGCATCCCATGGGCAACTAGTTTACCAAATCTTAAGAAGCTCAGCTTGTTGAAGTGTAATCTGCAGTGGAGTGAGCTGAGCGCTATTAGTATGTTGCCTAATCTGGAGGTTCTAAAACTGATAGATGCTTGTAAAGGCCCAGAGTGGGAGACATCTGATGGAGGGTTCCATCGATTGAAGAGGTTGGTAATTAAAAAAATAAATTTCCAATGTTGGAATGTTGTGGGTGACCATTTCCCTATGCTTGAATGTTTAGAGATAAGTGAGTGCTATTGGTTGAAAGAAATCCCTCGTGGTTTTGCCGATATCACCACACTAGCATTGATTCAGTTAAGCAAATGTAGGGATTCCCTTGTGGCTTCTGCAAAGTGGATTCAAGAAGAGCAAAACAACAACTATGGAAATGATGCCCTCCTTGTTCGTTACTAAAATGTTAAGGTCTCTTTCTATCCCTCTGGTATATCTCTCACTATTTAACATGCATTTCATGCTACTTGAATTTTTTATGGCTGATGGTTGCAATGGAAAATCATCTATCTGATATGTTTTCTCTCACTTCTATATATCTCTTTTTTAATTTCTCTATCTCATATTTCCTTACCTATCTAACTGTTGTGTGTTTGCCTTTTCTTTTTACTGAATTTATTGTTCCCAGACTTCATGGTGTAAGTGGTTTGAGGAGGAAGAGAGTGATGAATGAATAGCAGTATATAGGTATGTTGTATGAGCACATTTAACTATTTTTTTTTTTTTTGTCTCAAATTAAAGAAAAATGGATCAATTAAGCTTATTGCTTTCCCTTTTTGGAAATATATATAGGAAGGCATGGTGAAATTGTTGGAGGAAATGACAAATCTGATGGATGGTGCTTCCATTGCAGGGGAATAGAATTTTTATTTATTCATTTAAAGTCTCAGAAATCTGTTTTGTTTCTGAAGTGAAGTGAAGTTTGTACAGATTTTGGTGCTGGGGAATTAGTTTGTAGATATGATGGTTGCAATATAGCTGCTCTGCACTGCAATGAATAATCATTATCTGTTTAATTTTCTCTCATTTTTCTCTATATATCTAACTATCTGCTTTATATATGAATGTCTCTTTACTTATAACTGGTTTGTTCACCAAGTTCACAATGCATTGTGCGCCCTAAGAGTTTATGTGTATTATGTTAAGAGTTCATGTATATTATGTATATTATGTTAGGAGTTTATGTGTATTTTACTATACAATTATGTACATACGAAACAAAGGATTTCTAGGGCGCACAATGCATTGCACCCCGCCTGAGTTTAATTATTTTGTGGTAGCAAGTGTAGCCTGTAGGTAATATTTGGTGTTTTAATTTTAATGGACCATTAAGAATTTAGTATACATGGGAAGCTCAATCCATCACTAGTAAGTTAAGCAAGCATACAAATCACGCATTTTAAGAAGGAAAACAACTTACCTTAAAAACAAAAATCACGCACATAAAGCTTTAGGTCGACGGACCTTAAGTTTCAATAACTGACGCACCTTAAGTACAAAACCCACGCACCTTAAATTTAACATATGTATACAAAAAGACCAAATTGCAACTGCGCGTGTTTTTAATCACTGTTATGTTAATCCTGAACGTTAATTTATGCAATATCAATGGCTCAGAATTAACCGCACAACCGCACCTCAGCGCACTAACAGCATTTGAACATATATATATATATATATATATATATATATATATATATATATATATATATATATATATATATATATATATATATATATATAGAGAGAGAGAGAGAGAGAGAGAGAAAGAGAGAGAGAGAGAGAGAGAGATAATTCCAACAATAGTTCTCCGACTATGGTGATTTTCCAAATTTGGTCCTCGTCTTTTAATTTGGACGAATTAAACCCTGGACTATCAGAATTGTTGCACCATTAGTCATTTCATTTCATTAACCAAGAGTTAAATAGACGTTAGTGAAGGGCTAAAATGGTCATTTCCAATGCTGAAATGTTCCCCTACCGACAACTAGGAAGCTGAGCAAGATCCATGTTTGGTCCATGGTTTTGCAAGGATCAGTGTTCAGAATTCCCAGAATAGTCTCCCGGTACTACGAAGACGACGATGGAATGTTCTTTTAACCCTCAACTTATCCCGCTTGCTTTATTGCACAACATGCAAATCAGGCTTGTGGCCTTGTGGGTTCTCATCTCCATTAAACGTAGAACCCATCAGTCCTAGTTAGTGACAAAATCCATCCCTACATGAAACCCAAACCATTAAGAAACCTGAGCAAAAACCATTAGGCACATAAAGATGGGAACTTTAAGGAAAAACCAAAAAACAACAAATTGGTCAGTAGTAACAAGAAACCTTAGTCCTTAAACATCTTAAATGACAGAATTTTCAAGGAAAAAAAAATGAAAAAGAAAAACTTTTTTTTTTTAATGTTATGTAAAGAGTCTTTGATGTATAAGCTGGAAATGTGGGGAGCAAATAGAAACTGGAAAGAGACAAGAATTTGGGTAAGAAAATTCCATTGTTGTTGAGTTTCTCTCTTTCCAATGGGGTTTTGTTAGCTTCGTGCAACCTTAGCTTGGCTTAGATCGACTTCTAGGCCAAGCAAACTTCATCTCTTTCACAGACTTTACTACAAACAACACACAAATCCAGTAAAAGCATCCACTGCTTGTCAACTTAGCACAAAAACTTTAGCCAATAATACAAGCAAAAGGCCTTCACAACAAAACCTAAACCGCAAATGAAGAAAAAAAAAACGAATTAAGAAAAGAGAGAATCATCATCACCCCCACTTCAACTGATCACACTGCAAAACCGTACCCTAATTTCCCTTCTCAGTTCCTGTCATTTCCAGTCCCAACAAACCCCAATTGAGCCCTTCAACGTCTTCTTGAGCTAGGAAAGGTAAGCAAGAGGAAAAAAAAAAAAAACAGAATTTTAACACCTTTTTTTTCATTGCTCAACACCCAGCAGAGACCAAAAGAAATGAGAGTGTGGGAAGTGATTACCTTTAGGGTTAAGGAAATTGGTTTAGACAATTGGAGATTTTGAAAATAACTCCCGTTTTAGTACAATACAGAGCCAGTTCTTGAATAGATAGGAAATGTATTGGGATCTTTCATCAAGACTGGCCAAGATAAGCATCATGGTTCATGGAGGAGATTTTACAGAGTTCGCATTACGCTCGATATTGAGAAATCCTTGCATCGCCGCCTCAAACTTAATAAACGGGACGGTCGTCTCCGGCCACAGAGACGAAGGTTCTTCATCTCCATGGCCAGCGACCCGCGACCCTTACCTTTATAATATACTCCTCCGTTTCTCTTTACCTGTTTTTGTTGTTAGTAAAGATCTGACGAACAGGGGAATGAAGGAGAAGAAGAGACGGAAATGACCATTTTACCCCTTCACTTAACGTCTATCTAACTCTTAGTTAACAGAAGGACTAATGGTGGAACAATTTTGATAGTCAAAGGGTTTTAGTCAGAGGACTATTGCTTGAATTAACTTTATATATATATATATATATATATATATATATATATATATATATATATATATATATATATATATATATATATGATTATTTTCAAATACAAACCCCCTTAAAATACAAACTGTGTGCATGTAAGTATGTTCATGTGTGCACGAGCTAATCCTAAATATTGTTGGCAGTGTGCCCAGTGTGTATGTAAGTATGTTAATGTGTGCATGAGCTTTGATTGTGGTTGTGATTTTTTCCTCCTACGCACTATGTGCATGTAAGTATGTTAATGTGTGCACGAACTTTGATGGATGGTTGTGATTTTTCCTCCTACGCGCTGCGTGCTTGTAAGTATGTTAATGTGTGCACGACCTAGTCTCAGAAATTGTTGACAGTGCGCCCTGTGTGCATGTAAGTATGTTAATGTGTGCACGCGCTCAAGTTTGTATCTTAAGGGGGGTTTGTATTTTAAGGGGGTTTGTATTTGAATGCAACCCTATATATATATATATATATATATATATATATATATATATATATATATATATATATATATATATATATATATATATATATATATATATATATATATATATATATATATATAAGTTCCAGTGCATTTAAGCGTTTCGCGTGCGGTTTTAACATGCGTCAGTTTTGTACTTCAAGTGCGTGAATCTTGTGCTTAATGTGCGTGAAAGTTGTGCTTAATGTGTGTGAGTTTGTGTTTAATGTGAGTTGTTGTTGAAAACTTAAGTGAGTGAGTTTTGTGCTTAAGTGCGTGAGTTTTGTGCTTACGGTGCGTGAATTTTGTGCTTACGGTGCGTGAATTTTGTGCTTAACGTGCGTGGGTTTGTGCTTAATGTGAGTAGTTGTTGAAACTTAAAAGGTGCCTGAGTTACATGCTTAACGTGCGTGGATTTGTGTTCTGAAGATGTTTTGTTTGTGTGGTTAATGTGCGTGTGTTGTGTACTTAAAGTGCGTTAGTTAATGCTTAATGTGCATCCAACCGCACAACTGCACGGGAAGCCACACACACACACACACACACACACACACACACACACACATATATATATATATATATATATATATATATATATATATATATATATACTTTTTTGGGGGGTTTTAAAGTAATTGTCAATTGGGGCTCAATTTCACCCTATCACAAATGGGGGGGGGGGGGGGGGGGGGGGGGGGGGTTAAAGTAACTGTTAATTGGGTTCAATTTCACCCTATCACAAATTGACCCAATATCTCTGCACTTAGCATGAAAATTCTGTATACTATATATACATATAATTTTTTTTTTTTAAATATGGGGCCCCCAAAAATTTGGGGCCCTGTGCGGTCGCACATGTTAGACATGCTTAGAACCGGCAATGTATATACATACATACATACATACATACATACATACATACATACATACATACATACATACATACATACATACATACATACATATATATATATATATATATATATATATATATATATATATATATATATATATATATAGAGGTAGATTTTGGTTCCTGTGAGGTCAGGTCTTCCATGCGGCATACACCATTAGGTATGCATAAATGCACCATACAGTGTTCGAAAATACACCAGAATGAAATGCCAAAAAATATACCACAGAAAAAAAATACACCACATAATGGTGTATTTACGAACACTGTGTGGTGCATTTATGTATACCTAATGGTGTATGCCGCACTGACCGCACGGGAAGACCTGACCTCACCGGAACCTGACCATATATATATATATATATATATATGGGTTCTGGTGCGGTTGGTGCGCCCATGTGCGGTTGAATATGAGCTATTGATATTGTTTAAATCAATGTCCAAGATTACAAAAAAAATAAAATAAAAATAAAATAAAAATAAAATAAAAAAAACGCGTTGGCAATTTGGTAATTTTTAAATCTAGGTCAAATTTAAGATGCGTGAGTTTTTGTGTTTAAGGTGCGTGAGTTATGTTCTTAAGGTGCGTGAGTTGTGTGCTTAATGTGAGTAGTTGTTGAAACTTAAGATGCGTGGGTTTTGTGTTTAAGGTGCATGGGTTCTGTGCTTAAGGTGTGTGGGTTATGTGCTTAAGGTGCGTGAGTTCTGTGCTTAATGTGAGTAGTTGTTGAAACTTGATGTGAGTTGTTTTCCTTCTTAAGCTGCGTGATTTGTATGCTAAAGTTGCGTCAGTTGTGCGAAACTTAAGATGAGCCATTTTAAAACTTTAGGGGCATGTTTTGTGTTCTTAATGTGCTTTGTTATGTACTTAAGGTGCATGGTTTGTGTTTTTAAGGTTCTTTATTTGTGTGCTTAAGGTGCGTGGGTTGCATGTCTACTTAAGGTGCGTCATGTTAATGCTTAAGGTGGGTTAACCGCACAACCATGCAGGAAGCATCACCTGCACCCGAACCCTTCCCTATATATATATATATATATATATATATATATATATATATATATATATATATATATATATATATATATATATATATATATATATATATATATATATATAGTAGGGTTCCAATTAGAACACTTGCTTAGGTGAGAACGTGAGAACAAATCGTGTGCATCC